AGGGTAGCCTGGGGCAAGACGCCCCAGATAATTTATTTTGCTGCATAACTTTTGTCCCACATGACCTGGAAGGCTAAATTTGTGCTCAATGCGTTCTTGGGACATTTTACTTTAAATTCCACCCCTCAAATTATTTCACCTATGATCGGACTCCCAGCTAGGAAGCGATTTGTGAAGCAACTGCAAATGGGGCATTTTGCCCCAGCCCCAGGGCAAAACGCCCCACGGCCTGGGGCAAGAAGCCCCATACTCTAGATTAAAGATTAAACATGGTAGTTGGCTAAATCTTATATGAGAGGTCCGTTAGACTTCTGGAGGCACGGCACTGAAGTTAGCACATTCCATCCTGTCAGGTGTTCAGCTATGACACTATTGTATGAGCAGGTTTTTCACCTGCCTCAAAGGACCAAATAATAAATTATTGCAATGCAAATGTTCACAGAATACTTCCTTTGCCATCCAGTTGCTGAGAAAAATACACATAAAGGCATAGAAACTTACTGTTCGCCAGCTACCGAACATTAGAAAGTGGGTAGCCCGAACAACGCATGGGGTAAAACGCCCCATGGGGCTTTTTGCCCCGCGACCTACTGGGGCGTTTTACCCCATCACGTAGTTCGGTCAGAGAACAACGCTTTGCACTCCAGCAAGACATAATTTAACACGAACCAACCCGGCATGATAAGCGTTAGACAATAGTTGTTCAAAATACATAAAAGTCGTTAACCTGATATGGACCATAAAAGAACGCCATGATGCATAATCTAACAACAAAACATAAAAATCACTCAAAAAACACATTTTTGGCTATATCTCCCGAAAGAGTCAACACAATTTCTTCCCAGTCTGCTCATATAATGATCATATAGTGCACGTTCTATAGAAGAGAGGATGTTTCCCCAGAACTCTGCCAGTTCCGAGAAACATCGGTGAGGCGTTTTACCTCGGCGGGGCGACTTGCCCCGGTCTACCCTATAGCACTTACAACTAAGGTAAACAACACTTTGAACATACTTTTCTGTACAAGGTATATGCAAAAATAGTATTTGACCTCAGTGACCTCGTGTGACCTGGTATGACATGACACCTCCAATAACGTACTCTTCATTATATGAAGACGATATGAATGTTTCATGCATATAACTTCTGATTTTACCCCAAACATGTTAGTTTGAATCGTTTCCCCATTGACCGTAATGGTAAGCATTGGTGACCTCAGGTCATGACCTGTCAAGGTTATAACAAAAACCGAAACATATGTTGCTCATATCTGTAAGCTTATTTGAACCTGGAGGTTTGAACATATTTGCTCGAAAATTCTTGCTGTGGTGAGGGGACAAACTTTTCTTCATGACCTAAATTTAGGTTGACCTGGTGACCTGACCTGAGGTCAGAACAACTCAAAACTTTCAGAAATGTTGCGTAAAAGCCTTTTAGGAAAAGTCAGAAAATTTGAGCTTCCTAGCTCAAAGCGTTTGGGAGAAATAACCAAAAAACCTCAAGGGGGGGGGGGCTCCTGAGCCAGCCCCCCCCCCCCCCCCCGCCAGGAATAGGGTTAATTTGTAGTGGTTTCCATTCGCCATGGAAGGCAGGTTTCCACGCGTGTATCGTAGGTGTACGGTGTAAAATCTATGTAACTGGAAGACAAAATGTTTTAAGTTATTGACAGCATTTTATTAAGATTCTCAATGACACGCATATTTAATGCTGCACATCCAGTCCTATGATATAGGCATAATGTTTTGGCATGCGAGAATATTGTTGTCGATATTTATCAATATTTTTAATCGGCTAACAATACTCATTGTTCGTGATTGGCGCCTTAGCGTTGACGATTTCCGTGTTGAGCGGGCCGCTCCAGTGGCCCAAATAGATGACCTCTCCGATGGTAAACCCTTCCATGACCCGAATATCGGACACCATGGCACACAATACAAGGACGGACAGGCCCTTCCACTTTATACACCACCGCCAATGGGCGTGATCGGGTGCCTACAGCGCCTGGCTGCGATTGCAGTAAATGTTCGATGCAAGTGCAGCGCCAGCCACTGTATCTTCTATGACTTGTTCCAGTGCTCTCAAAGTCAACAAGAACTACGTCTTCCCTCGTTGTCCAATTTAATCGATCCCTATAATATTTTGGTCGTTAACTTTGATAGCATATGCTCAAAGAACGTCACATCAATTATATCAATATATTCCTTGATTGAACCGGCGGCTCAATTCGTTGGAGGTAGGCAGTGCAGACCCTCTCAGGTGGAGCGAGGTATGGATGCAGTGCTTTCCTCATTCAGGCTCAGGAAGGGATGTAGAGTGTCGACTGTAGAGTTCTCTCGGGCTTAGGCATAGACGCAGATTGCAGACCTCATGTAAGTCTAGAAGGAAGGTTGCATTTCGTGCTTTCATTGCAGGAAGGGCTGCAGCCAGCGCTCTCAAGGAGAGGCAGGGATGCAGATTGCACAGAGATGCAGAATGCGTCCCTGCCTTGGAAGACAGGGTTCTTCCCTCATTCGTAGGCAGGAATGCAGTGCGCCCCTTCAGTCAGAGACAGAGATGCAGGTCGTACTCCTATTTCAGAGTCAGGGGTGCAGAACGTACCCTATACGCAGAGTCGGGGATGCAGTCGGTCCCCCTGAGGCGGAGGCAGTGTCCGGGCGAGGTCGGCGGAGGCGGCGCGGCCTTGGGTGCCGCTGCCGCTGCTCGGCCCCCTCCCACGGTGCTGACTGCGGACGGTACCGATAGGGCGGCGGTCAGAGGACAGACAAGGGCGGGGCGCGCCGCCCGGGGTGTGACCCGTCCACTAGCCGATCTATGACTACCGGGCTGCGCCTGCAGAGTCTGTCTGCACAGGTCCTGTCAGCTATCAGCCGAAACTCGGCTTTGCACGCTGGTAGATTAATCACCGAAACGCCTTCGGAAAGCTGAGTTAGTTTTTAGGCTTTAGGACGGTTGTGTGATCAAAAGACGGCCGACGGGGAAGTGTCACTATGGCGCGTTGCGCAATATCCCGTTGCAATTTTTGTCCGTCCAGTGTTGTCGCCACTGCTTTTGCCCTTCGCCGCTGCTTCTATCTTTCGCCGCTGAGATTGAGAGATGACTGGGCAGAGGACAACGGAGAGGCGCTGAGCGCGGACCGGTCAGCGGGCGTGGTCGGTTCCCGGACCTGCTCCCGGACCGCCGCCGGGCGGGGCGCATCACGTGATCCCATCCCGGACCATAGGCCGTGACCGCCGCAGGGAGGGAGCGTACCACGTGATCGGACCATCCCTGCCGTCGGGCCCCGCCTTCGGTCTCGATCAACGCGAGGGATGGCAACGGGAGTGTTTCTTTTCTTTGACGGAATGCTTAGATAAAATGTTTTTTCTCTCGTCGTTCAATTTGATAGCCTTGAGTATCTATTGTGTGACGCGGATTAGGTGGTGACGTGACTTAATCACTGACGACACTTAACAACAAAGCGATCTCTAAAGCCACCATCCTACATGTTCCCGAACATGTTCTTTGTACCGCTTCCGTTGTGATTTCAACTAATTTCCGATGCAACGTGCATCATCATCGGGCTCAATTATCCGGTGTTTGGTCTCGTCCGTCCGTCACGGTAGCACTGAGGCACGACATGGCGCTGTTCCCATCACGGCGGAGCGCTCTTTGTGCGGTCCGTGAAGGCTGGAGCAGTGCCCCAGGGCTCGACCACAGGGACGGCCTTGTTTATCGGTTGTCGGTGGATTCCGTCGGCCCGGAACGGCGAGCCGACTGACCACGAACGCGGACCGGTGCGACGCTGAGAGGCGGGTCTCAGACTTTGAGAGTAAATGTATCACTGATGTAGATCACCGTCTGCGTAGGATATGCATGCCTTGTTTCTAAAAGTCACAAAATGAGCACAGGAGCTGGTATCGTGCCGGCAGAGGCATTGTCGATGGCGGTTTCCATGTTGAATGTGGTGTTGTCTAAGGTGGAAGGTTGCGGCTGGGTGGCCGCTGACTGTTACGGTTTTTGCAGTTAACTCTGTTCGGCATGGTTTGTCACGCGGTTGAGCTCGGACTTCCTTTGGATGCTTGATGATAGTCACAAGGAAAAGGGATAAACGTCCTCACGATCCGAAAACATTAGTCACGTATGGCTGTTATGTGCCTCAAACTATGCAGATGTTTGATGCATCACTCGCATCTGACAAGGAACTGACAAGGACTAACTTCCACCAGTCACTTCTCATAGACTGCTTGCAGCGGCTGGGAGAGTCCGGAAGAGACCCGTCTCCAGTCTCTGCTCATAGACTATCTGGGAGGGGTCGGTAGGGACTACCTTCCCCCAGTCCCTCCTCATAGACTGCGCTGGGAGGGGCCGGCCGCGCCGGGCGCCGACTTGGCGGTGCCTCCGATGGCCTTGGAGACGGCTCCAGCGGAACGGACGCCTCCGAGGAGTTCCGTGATGATGCTCGCGCCGCGGACCCGCCCAGACCGAGCTCGTTAGGACAGCTCGTGACGTGACGTCACTGCACGTCACGTGACGTCTGTCCGGTTTAGGATGGGAGGGGGGGGGGGCTCGGGTCCCGTGATAAGGGTCCCGTGCTTTGAAAAAGTGTGGGATGACGTATTCTTGGGTTGAGAGTTATTGTCCTATTGACCTGTGCGCGTTTCTAAGTACATACATATGTGTGAGAGCTGTAAACAAGCAAATGGGTGACTATCATTTTTATGTTACTGTTGCATCTGTTATCATAAATAGCAAATGTGGAGCGCATCCCAATGGCTATACTATTGCGTTTATTGCTTTGGTGCCCTTCCACGTCAAACATGTAAATTGAAAAAGTTCGAAACGACTTTACTCGTATGAAATGGTTCTTCACCTCAAATGAGTCCAAGCTACTACCTCAGATAAACCTGTATATGTAGAGCTCACCAACTGTACAGTGAATCTCGCCGTTCCCGCACGGTGTTCGAACCGAAACCTCCCAGTCCCCGCACAGGCTCTGACCTCCCTCTTCCGTGTTCGTTCAGACTCGGACGGCGAGCTGGAGGGCCGGAGTCGGATCCACCTCGGTCAGACGGAGAACCAGACGATGGAGATCTGCCAGCTGCTGCTGTCGCTGATTCACGCCTGGGGAGTGGATGCCGAGATCGACCGGCTCTGTGAGAGCAAACTGGGCATGCTGCGGCCCAAACACCCAGTCTGCTATGGGCTCATCAGCAAACACGGTACGTGGGTGGCGCCGGGAGTGGACCGGAGGCGGGTCGTGCTATATGCGCTGATTGGATTGGACTGAAGGTTAACAATATCATGTGAGGGGAGCTGATACTTGACTGATGGGAATGTTTCGCTGTGTAGTTGATACTTGATAGAATGTATGGAAAAAAAATCGTCCGAGCTATTGTTGAAATGATTGATGGTGTTTTGTGTCAAAGACGTTAAGAAACGAAATAAATTAACCCTACTGCGCATGCATCATCTTATTTATAATATACTGACTTATTTATTATATACGTCATTTCTTATTTCTTTTTACTTCGCCCAGCAAATCGCACGAGGGCCTCGCCGAACTCCAGGCCTTGATCAGTGCCGCCTCCCTTACCTCCCCCCTCCCCCCTCCCCCCCCCCCCCTCCCCCAAGGGTTCGTGTCGCTGCTGCTACCGACGTTCCTGGGCGGACCGGCCTCGGCGGCCATGTCGGCACCTCTCGCCGAGCGGACGGTAACGTTCACTCGGCGGACACACTGGGAGCTCAGCTGCGCGCTCACCTCCAACCATCTGCTGGCCGTGATCGCGCTGGCCGACACGCTCATGTCCATGAACAACACCAGCTTCATGTCAGAGACGGAGCGACGCAAACGGCTGCAAAAGTGAGATATTGATGCTGGGAGATATGACTGATTAGAGGCTGGACGAGGACACTGTGTTGTAGGGTTTCAGCTTTTTTGAGATAGTGAGATGTTGAAGTAATTTGTGGTTATCTTAAAGTTAGTTGATATAAGGGAACCTCGATAGGATGTTTCTCCCTTATAGGTGCGGCGCTGTTTTTCCCCTCTTTTTAGCGCGACTTTTTGGTTTCCATATCATGTGTTCGTGCTTGCGTTGATGCACTGGATTAACGCGTCGGTTGTTGTTTATCTGGCAGGCAGTTGACGCGGTCGCTGAGTCAATCGAACCAGACGCCCAACAAGTCGCAGGAGGGCCTCGTCGAGCTCCAGGCCAACTTCTGGGCGCAAGTCCGAGAGGTCAGTACCGGTATCTGGTGGTTTGAGCTGCTGATGAATGTGCTGGTTAAGTTCACGTCCCATTCTTGTCTACTGTTTTGAAAGTTCGCGTGGAAAAACTTGTCTAGATATTGCTTTGCTATTTAATGCAGCGAAGTCTTACTAAAACCGATATGAACTGGCCTGCGATCTGACATGAACTTCACTTGACTGCTGGGAAGTCATACCAGCATTCCAAAACTGTGCTCTCATAATTCCAACCATAGTATTATCGTGTGTGAACTGCGATTTGACCTCGGTTTGTGTGCGCTGCCGACAGGGCTGGAGTAAGATGGCCACCCTGCACTGCGTCCAGTTCCCCGAGCGATTGGACGCCTCTGGTGTCGTGCTCAAGAAACCTCTAGTGGAAATGCTCGCCAGGAGATGGCAGGACCGCTGCATAGAGGTATTGCATAATGCTCCGTATTGCATTGCATTTTGATTAACTTGCTGTTTTGCCGTAATCTATCATCGATGGAAACGTTTCCCATAAGTGGAATGTCCATCCTGAAAGCTGTTCAGCATCCCAGTTATTTTCGAAAAACCACTCTATGATGTGTCTGAGACGGAGTCCGTTCGTTGAATTCGCCGTCCGCCTCGCAGATCAATGAAACGGCCCAGTTGCTGAGAGTTGAGACCCAGTCCGTCTGACTGCCCTCCCCGTCCCCTCAGATCCGTCAGGCGGTGCTGGCGCTGACTGTATTTCCCCTATCAGATCCGTCAGGCGGCACAGGCGTTGCTGCTGGCCGAGCTCCGCCGGCTCTCGCCGCGCAGTCTGAAGGCGCTGGTCGACTGGTGGGCGCCCATGCTGCCCTCCTACGGCGAGGCGTCTTCGGCAGCACCGGCGCCGGCCTCCTCGGCGCCGCTGAACGACGAGCACGATCACACGGACGGAGAGCCGGACGACTATGGAGCAGAGGATCAGATGGAGGGTGAGCCGGCTGCCGAGCTGGCTCTCCATCGTTTGACCCCTCGACATTCGTTACCAATTTAGCGTACTGTGTAAAGAGTTTAGGTATTCGGCTTTAGCTCATCGGATCGAATCGATCCATCACTCGATTCGGTCCGGAATCGATCGATCGGGAATCTTTTGAATCCCGATTTCCGAGAAATGAAAAATATAATTTCGCATCATCGAGCATCGATGCTGTATTCAGCCTGTCCGTCCGGCGTCCATGTAGTTGTTCTCTCATGCAATGTCCTTTCTAATCCTGGCAATGAATATCGTTTTTCGGTCTCTCGTCAGGATATGAACAAATATCGACAATCTTTCCTCGGTTGCCGGCTTCTACCAAAATATTAACAATATGCTGAGCTACTAACCAATATGCTAAGTGTTGTTGGCTTACCAGCTTACTGATCACCCCACCCCTCTCGCAGAGGAGGCGGCGCGGCGGGCGGCGGCCAACGCTGCCGAGGTCCGCCGTAAACAGGCCACCGCCATCATCCTACTCGGTGTGATCGGTGCAGAGTTCGGACAGGCCGTCTCCGGCGGCGGCGGCCGTGCGCACGGCGTCGAGGGCTTCGGCCTGGGCCCGCTGGCACTGCGAACTAGTGAGTGGCGTAGCGGCAGGAATTTGGGACTGGGACAGGGAAGGGATGGGCTCTGGGGAGATGTGTCAACAGGGGAGTGCGATCGTGTTTAGAGAAGGATAACATAGCTTTTGCCTCGGTGTCTGCCGTTGATTTGACGTGTGAGATTAGGCCGGGTTGTGTTACACAAAGGAATTGATGCGTAAAAAGTTTGTGGCATTAAAACCAATGAGGTTGTTGAAGGTAGGTTGTCATGTAGAACAAGCAAGCTACAGTTTGTGGCACATCGCGCTTCATTGCTCGTGACTGCCAATAGGACATTAACACCTTTAGCTACAACAGAACTCACAACGAGCTGTGTTTTGCTTCTACGTCAGCTCGCTCTTACCACCTTTCCACCAAACCCATCCCTCCACCTAACTCCCCTCCCCTACCCACAGGTCAAGCGCTGGCGCACCTGCTGCTGGCTCCTCCCACGGCCAAGCTGCCGGCGCACACACCCCTGCGGCGGGCGGCCATCGACCTGATCGGTCGCGGGTTCGCCCAGTGGGAGCCGCACATCGACGCGTCGCGCGTGCTGCTCGCCATGCTGGAGCTGTGCTGCGAGGCCGACGGCATGGCGCCCAGGTGCGTAGGAGGGGGAAGGGAAGGAGGCGGTCTGCTAGGCATTGAGAAGATGTATTCTTTCAGAGTACTGGTCATTATTGCATTGTGATTTTATTTTGATTCATGAAAGTTTTTTAATGTCGGCGACCTTCGTCAATGATTGTCTCAATCGTATGTTTATATTTTAAAATGGTTCATTTCTCAGTGCATCCTAGTTTGGCCCTGGTTAATTGGTATTAGTGTCTGCTCTCTTCGTCTTCCTTCACTTTGTTGTTCCCTGTCTTGCGGTCTTACATTTGACTTTAGTCTTTCTCCGCTAGTGTGATGTGCGGTCTGCCACTAGCTTCGGCGACCGACACAGTCCTAGCTCCGTCTAACTCTGTGTGTCTGTCTGCCCCGGCAGTATGACGTACGGCCTCCCGCTGGCCGCGGCCGCCGACACTGCCCGGACGGCGCGACACGCCGTGGCGCTCATCGCCACCGCGCGGCCACAGGTGTTCGTCACCACCATGGCTAGGGAGGTGAGATAGAGCGGGGAGAGAGAGATAGATGGAGCGGAGGAGGAGCGGGGGAGAGGGATGTGACACCGTGACATGACGAGGGAGTAGGATGGAGAGCGAGAGAGGGACCAGGAATTAGTTGATGGTGGGACATAGGTGTTCGGTAGGCGCCACAGCGGTAAAACTGCAGGAACACGTCGTTTCCGGAATCAATTTGTTTGGACGATAATGGCTTTAAACTTGCAAATGAATAATGATCTCACTTTGCAGGTAATTTGATTAATTTGTGAGTATTAGATTAATTTGTGGGCTTATGGGTGGGTGTTTAGTACGGTGCTGTGGTACGGTGCTGTGGCTAGGTGTTTCTTCGCCCCGCAGACTCGCCTTTCATCAGTTTTCTTCATGCCCTCTCTTATGGACCTTGACGCCCCCTTCCCTTCCCGCCAGGTGGCGCGTTACAACAGTCTTCAGCAGAATGCCCAGTCCATCAACGTCGTGGTACACCACTCTGTGCTGATGCGCGCCAAGCCGGAGATACTGCGCGTCATATCGCTACTCATCGAGAAGAGCCACAACGAACTGGTCAAGTTCCTCATCGAGGTGCGTCCTAAGGGCAGAGATAGAGGGTGATTTGAGGTTCCTAGAGGGCTGGGCGACTGCGATCTAGCCATAGAGTCTTTGTTTTCCTGATTGTGCAGTGTGCACGTCCCTTAGCATCTACTCCAACTTCCAAGACTATTGAAAAGTCCCTGTTTCACTTATGTTTTCATACGCGGTGGCGTTAAATGACCAAGGCAAACGCAGATAAGCCATCCACAAATTTGATATAGTTTCTGCCATGCCGCTGGACTTCTACCAGCAGTTTTACTGGCAATGCAATTTCCAATTTGCAATGCAGTGCAGTGCAGTGCAATTTCAATGCAAGATGCACCAATCGGCTCTTCTGATTCGCCAGTTTCTCTGCCACTCACCCTGTCGCCTATTCTGTGGACTCTGACCCGCCCTCCGCCCTCTCCGTTCCGCAGCTGACGGACATCCTGCTGCACTGCCTGGACCCGGGTCACCTGCGCCAGCGGCCTCTGCAGGAGGTGTTCCCCGTGGTGGGCCGGTTCCACCAGATCACCCACTGCACCAGCAGCCGGCGGGTGGCCGTGGGCACGGCTAATGGAACGCTGGCCATCTACGACCTCCGGCAGACCAACAAAACACAGGTGAGAGAGTACCAACAGACCAACAAAACACAGGTGAGAGAGTACCAACAGACCAACAAAACACAGGTGAGAGAGTACCAACAGACCAACAAACACAGGTGAGAGAGTACCAACAGACCAACAAAACACAGGTGAGAGGACCAACAAAACACCGGTGAGGGAACGGACTTCTGTATACGCAGACCAACAAAACACAGGTGAGTGCACACAGAGCCCAACAAAACGCAGGTGGCGTGACTCACAGACCAACAAACAGAGGGAACACAGAGACCAACAAAACGCAGACGAGGGAGCACAAACCTTGGGCAGAACAATACATACTGTGAGGGAATGGGACCTGCGGCTGAGATGAATGAACGGGCCATCGGGCGTATTAATGAAATACGGTAGAAATGAAACGTGTGGTAGGTGAACAGAACACAGATGAGAGAACGGGGCCACCGCTACCGTGTCAGTGAAACAAAAAAAAGGCGCTGGTGCACTAAGAGACAGCAGTCAGCCTTACGCACACTATCGAGCGTAAGTAAGTAAGGAAAGCGGACTTCAGCCTTGAGCAGGCAAGCAAAACGCGGGCGAGTGAACGAGACCCCTGGTAGAAAAGTGCACTACATTTTACAAGCGTAGTTGACGAAACGATGCGTCTTGTAGACCAATACAACACAGTTGAGGAAACTTGCCTGCAACCTGCCGGAGAACATGACACAGAAGATGTCAGGAAAATCAGTAACAAGTAAGTTGAAATGGTTTTTATCGGATAGCTTGACGGCTGGACCAGCTTCATCGCACTCCGTTGCTAGGTTCACACGTTGATCAAATGACCAAACTGTGGTGGACCCAGCCTTTGGGTTTTTTGCTGCATGAACTTTGTGTCAGGGTTGTCAGTGTAGTTTTCCCCACGCCATCACGTCGGTGCGTGTCTCTGTATGTGTCTGTGGGTCTGTTTGTGGTTGTTTTTGTCCTGTGATTTTTTTGCCGTGGTGGTGACAAGGCCAGGACAATAATCAATAATCCGGGCTCACGGCCGACGTGTATATAGGGGCTGGCTTATTTGGACGTCATCACACACAATCCACGCCCAGTAAGTCTGTATTTGGCCGCTGTTTTGTTAGCTATGTAGTCTCTATGCGGTCACTGCTGTTATCACTATTTAATCAGGACAGCGGCGCTAGCAACAAATGTGGGTACGCGTCAGTGCAGACTAAAAACAAACAGCATATCACATCAGGAAGCTGAAAAATATGGGGACAAACGACACATGACGTCGGTACGGTTGGAGAATGACGTCACATGACGTCGGCTAGGCTTTAGTGCGTGACGTAACAAGACTGATCGGGTGGTTGATGGCTCCCTCACTGTGTGACAGCTATGCATTCGATCGCTTATTTAGCATGTCCTATGGCTGGGGGACCTTGCGATTCATAAGTTAGTCTGCTCCACGAGATGTTAATCCTGGCTTTGGCTTTCTGTGCGGTATAATACAGGCAGCGAGTCGCTTAATTTCCATATAACTGACGTGCGTCAGCGTAATGCTAATCCTTGGTGAGGAAATGACGCTATTTTAGTATCGGCTTTGTTATGTAACCAGATCATAAACATACGCCAGCAATCATCTTGGGCGTACAATGTATCTTACGCTTTTATCGCTCAACACTCTGAGTCAACAGTGCGGTAGTTCCTTCTGATATTATTGTCCACTGATATCTCCCTTGAACATCGTCCGCTCTGACATCGCCCATTACCATCGCACTGTAATATTGGCATCGCCCGCTGACATCGCCCGTTCTCCGGCGTTGCAGCAGCTGCACGCGCACACAAAGGCGATCACCGCGTGCTCCTTTTCGCCCGACGGCAAGTTCCTCGCCTCCTACTCGACTGGCGAGAACAAGATCTCATTCTGGCAGGTAAGGGCTGAAGTGGGATCCCTATGGCGGTGCAGTGCTGGTGTCACGCCAGTAACGTCGTCACGTCACGGAGCTAATGGAGACGGTTTGCGTCATGTCACGCGGAGTTTTTTAATTTTGTCGATAACCATTTATTTTGTCATGTTAGTTGATTGTAAATGGAGGTGTAGAACGGCACATGTCGAGGAAGATAGCGCGTATGGGGCCATGGCGCCTGTCAAATCACTTTGTCGATTGTTGCCTCGCAATATGGACACATGTTGGACCGTCTGGTGGTGCTTTGTATGTCCATTGTTGGTCTGGTGTTATTGTCTCCGATGTAAAAGTGTGAGGATGAAAAAGCGGCTGTGCCGCGCTGTGACTCACTGCACCATATGTGGCCTCCGGCTGCTGTCCGTGCCCCAGAAAACACCAGTCTTATGACCGCCGTAATGGTTGTGTAAACCCGTCCATTAGGAACTAACGACACGCAACCCGTGTCGCATTAGTTGCAGGAACTTTACGCTCCCTCTGAGTTTACCTGTTCCGGCTACTGGAGTCTGTTTGTATTTTATATTATTTTTCTAAGACCGCAATTTCGTTCCAGTCGGCTCGCCATTGCCCGTCTTCACAGTTCACGCGCGACTTTGCTGATTACGAAAAACTTACCTTAAAAAAAGATATTGTTTCCCTGTAGGAGCCGTTTCAACGTTTCATTTCCATTTATCGAATATTCCGGATCTATTTACGTAGGCTTTGCGATGTGTCATTACCCAGATGGATGCCCTCCGTCTGTCGTAAGGCGTCTGTTTGATTCGACCTGGCCTTTCCTTCCTCTGACCATTGTCTGACGGCCGCCCCGCGACTCGGCAAGGCCGTCAGGCCGCTGCGCGCCCGTCTGTCGCATTTGCCATCGTATTGGGCATCTATGCACGATCGAAGCCTCCCTTCACGTCATACAAAGACACCATGTCCGTACGCCCATACGTCTTTCATCACGGGTCGTGTGCAAACCGGCTTCGACGCTCGGCGGGCGGGTTTATCTGATGTGTCGAGCTGACCTGCTGTCGTGCGCTCCGCCTTACCACTCTTGCACTAACTTCCTGTTCTGTGCCCCGCTTGTGCCATCAGACCTCTGCGGGTATGTTCGGTCTCGGCCACTCTCAGACGCGCTGTGTGAAGACGTACAGCACTCCGCCTCTGCCGGAGATTGTCCGGATGAACCCGCCTCGTCAGTCGCGTCTCGTCTGGGTGGCCAACAAGACGGTCACGCTGCTGCTGTCTGACGGAACGGAGCAGCGCTACAATGTCTGAGCTGGCGGCGGTATCATTGTAGGAGATACGGGAGTGGCGGAGTAGCGTCTGCGAGAGAACAGGCCCGGTGTAACGAATATTCCCGGGACCCTGCAGCCAACAGGTGGGCTCTCCGCTCAGTCAGTAACTGATCGGAGGATTGCCAGTGGAGTTGGCTTACACCAACACCACACGAGGTATCACCAGCGGGCACGCAGTGTGGTGCAACACCAAAACAAGCCTGTCGCCGGGTCACGTGACTCCCGGCCAGGCTCCAACGAGCATTCCTAATATTCTAGCTAGACGTGCGAGTGGCAAGCGCTGGCCGCGACAAGGCTAGCCCAATGAGGTGTTGTTTTAACTGGCCGTTACCGGTACTGTGTTTTATCCCAGTGACTGTATGAAGGGCTGTTGGCACGTACCAGCAGTCGGGGTCGCCGACTCACCAGGTCATAATGCTCGGTTGGAGCGGCACGGCGGACTGAGGCCAGTGCGCCCCAGCCCGCTCCGAGGAGGTAGCGCCGCGCCGGGAACGGCCGGCCGACGTAAATTGTGTCTGCTCCCCGTGGTTTAGTGATTTATTGCCATACAGCGCTGACGGCGCCGGCGGCGGCGGCGGGCCGCGGTTCGAATTTTCGCCGACTGAGTCAGGCATCCCCCATGCGCCGGGCGGCAGCGGAGGCCTGAGCAGCGAAACGACAATGTTGCCAGTCGTATAGACCATTCCCATTTTGTACTGATTTGTAGATATATCTATGTTTATGTATACGTATGCGTGTGTATCTGTGTCGTATATATTGTATATCGATGGGGCCCGGCGGCCAGCGTGCGACTCAGAACCATCCTTCTGCCAATTTCTCGCTGTTATTAAGCGGCGTCTTCGTCTCCGCTCTGGCTCCTGCGACTCTGCGCCGCGCTACTACTCGCTCTACACGTCTGTCTGTCAACCTGTCTGTCTCAGTCTGTCAATCTGTCAGTCTGTCGAGCGGCGCCCGCCAGCAATACAGGAAGGTGGGCGCAGAGAGCGCCGGCTGTGAGCGCTCTGGCCCCCGGGTTGGACGGCCGCAGACCCGTGACGGCGTCCACCGCAGGGTACAGGGTCGGACGGACTCGCCGCCCGGCCGGAGGGTGGACAGCAGTGGCCGGTGGTGTTAATAGCGGAGCGACACGGTCACAATAGTCGGCCCCGGCGCGGGTGCAGTCGGCAGGTCCCGGCGGCGCACGGGGCAGCTCGGCCGCCGGCGCACGGGGCTGAATTTTGAGTTTGTTTATGATCAGTCGGTATGAGCAGTCTCGTCATAGCCGTTTCCGTAATGTCTGTGCTAGCTGGGTGGTTCCCGACCCCTGTCAGCCGTGTGAACAAATGGGTACCGTATCTTGTGCGTCCAGTGTGTGTGTGTGTGTGTGAGAGAGAGTCGGTACATAGCGTCTCAGGATCGGTCCCGATGGGTCTGCGTGAGTTGAGTGAGCACCGATTGTCTGTCGTCGAGCCCACGGTATACGGTCGTGGCCAATATATAGACAGAGAGGTGAATGGTGTTCACTCTGGCGCGATCTTGGAGGAAAGGAGCGGCAGCCGTCATCGCGAGTGGGGTAGGGCTGGGGGAAAGCCAGAGTCGCAGTGGGCTGGGGTTAGGGGAGAGCCAATAGCCGCTGTAGGGGTGGGAAGGGAGAGTCACCACCGCGACTGGGGCGGGAGGGGAAGGGGAGAGTCGACAGCGGGAGGGGGAGGGGTTACTGACAGGTGTTGCTGTTCTGAACGGGCTAAATGGGTCGCGTCATCAGCCCGCTGCTGGGTGAAGAGTGCGCCGCGGTGCCAGGAGCCGCACAAGTGTCGTGGCCCGCTGGGAGTCGCTGGGAGGGGGTACCGTCGGATGGACACCTGTGGTAAACACAGGTGCGCCGTGTCCCCTGGTCAGGCCCCCAGCACACTCCATAGAGCGCCGGGTCCTCGGCGAGAGTTGTGAGGAAAGCGGTAAATGCTACGAAACGTGACGATAGACTGCCTGAGGTGATAGGCACGGTGTGGGGTTGAATATTTGCGAGATGACGACAGCATTGGGTTCTCGTAGTTTATTTGAACTATCGAATTTGTATGCGTCGGGTGAGCGGCACTCTGCAGATATTGTGTTGAGTATTTGACAAACATTGGTGCTGAAGTTGCCAGGTGGAGGACTGGTTTCGTGCGATTGGCTCTGGAAACACTCGAGATGACATGCACATTGCACAAGAAAGCTTTGTCGCCATGAGAGCTGCACGTGTATGCACGTTGCGCGCTGGCTCGTGTGTTGCGCTCTCCCGACTGCTAGAAAGCATGTTTCCAGTATCCCTAGCTCCAATTACCAGCAACATTATCCCATTTGTTCTGCCTGGAACCAGACCTGTTGCGCGTCCGCTCTGTTTATCCCGTATGACGACGGTCGCGTTCTGCCGTATACGGCTACATCTCATTATCACCGGCCGGACGAGGTCGTGTGTGCTCTGTCCCTATGTCACAGGGCCTGCCGATAGCATCAGACGTGCACTAACGGCTCAAAGCGCCACACAAGCCGCATGTGACAGGGTGTGGCCCGACTGCAACGAGGCCCAGATACCGGCACTTCAAAGACAAGCTCGACTGGTAATGGTCGGTGATCTATTGGCTCTAAAGGCAGGCGACATTGTGATGATCTTACCGGACCATTTTTGGAATGCAGGATGGAGAGCATTTTATCACCAGGAGATCGCAGAAAAATGTACGCGACCGCTCGATGCTGCAAAATCATGAAATGTGATGGTCGGCGTCTCGATATTATCTTGTGGGACGGCTGGCCAACGAGCGGGCCTTGTTCCCAGCAAAATGAGTGTCGAAGGAATCATTTTGTCATCAGTAGTCCGAATCAAAGCTGAAACTGATAATTACAATAACTCAGCCACGACTGCGTGCTTTCCAGATGTCCATGCATTTGCTCGTTACCGGTTACCCTCCCCGAAAATGGGCAAAGATGGTGGCTATCCCCGGGTCACGTTAGCACGCCGAACACTCCTTGACCGTGTGTTTCACGTGCCGTGCGTGACAATTGGCTCATCCCGTGTGGCGATATCGTCGCCGGTTATTCCTATCGCGTGAGCACACCCCTCCCCTGCCAGCAGATACCACTCCCTTCTCATGATCAACGCGACCCCTAACCTCATTTCCTGTCCGCATGTGTGCGCAATGCCGCCGTCCCGTATTGTCAGAGCGCGGAATGGGGCAGACAACGCCGGGAAGGCATGTGTGGGGGTGTTTCCCGGAACGCAAATACGACGCCTGTGCGGCTGCGTTGACCCGAGTTCGCGTATGATCTTGGCGAGGGATGTTGGATGATGCGCAGAGGGGAAAAGGATGGGCGCCGAGCCAGTCAGCTGCGGGGGAGGAGTTTGGGGGAGGGTCCCGTGCGATACTGCGCGTCTCGCAGGCTCTGCGATAAGGGGCACGCACCGATAAGGCCGACTATCAGACTCGACCGGTATGTATGCATGCGTGTATTTCGACAGGTGTTCGTATTGATAAGTATTGATACGAAACTCTATTCCGGGGGCGTGATAGAAGTTCTGTCAGAGCGTAGTTGAGAGAATACGGTTAGTGAGCCGGACCTCGAAACGACAGTGCGCCCGGCGGGCGTGTGGTGCTGTGTGCGACTTGGCACAGGTGTGGTGACTCAAGACGAGGAAGTGTTTGTGATGCGAGTGAGAGGCACGAGACGTGAGCACGTGGCGGGTGTAGAGAGAGCTGGTGTAACGTGAGGGGCTCGCGGCTGACGAAACAACACCGAGTGTCGAGCTCAGATCGGGAGACTGCGTTAGTACGTTTCCTCTTCGCATCATACCATCAATGACCTTATCTGAGCTTTCTTGCTGGTCCACTCCTAGCTTACCTGTATCAACCTGTCATGCCGAGCTCCTGTCAACTGCATTCCTTCCCGCGACCCAACCTGACCTGACCTAACCCACCATAACCCTCTCCGTCCCCCTCCACACTGACACTAACACAGTGACACCTGACACCATGCCGGACCAGTCCAGCTCCCCGGCGCGGGTGTCGATCGTGGCTGCAAGTCGTCACATCCGACAGGTGGTCACGCGGCAGACAGCCGACGTGGAGCGCCACCACGCCAGGCCTCCCTCCCTGCCGCCCGCCGCCCGCCCGGTCGGTGTGGGGTGGTGCGGCCGGCCGGCCGGCAGTATACCGGGCACAGGCCACGAGTCGGGACGGTGGAGTCCGTCTCGCTCCGACCGCGAGCCTCGTGGCGTGTGCTGTTTGCTTTGTGTGGTGGTGGACGGTCGGCGATACGGGTGTTCCGTGCCTGAGAGGTGCTCGGTTGGAGGAAAGGCACGAGTGAGTGGTTGAGTGGTCTCGCCTGCCTCTGTTGCACTTCTTCAAGGTCTTCAAGACGACTGATTGCGGGTAACTTGTGCAATAGTGTGACTTTGTACTGTTCCTTACCGTAGCCAACTGTGAAAAACAAACTAGAGCGCACCTCAACCGATGTCGGGTCGCGCGTCCAGATAAAAATCGTGCCAGCCGGTCGCCTTGGCGAGATAGGCGGCCCCGAGCACGCCTCGAGACGATAACGTCTGGCTCAACCTCAGTCTGTGCGCGGCGCCGGTGGTGTTCGAGCGAGCCGACAGTCCGTCTCGATCGGACCAGCTGCGTGTCTCGGTCGGACCAGTTGCGTGTTTGTGGTTGGCGTGGTGCGTCTGCGTCCAGCTGCGTCCGGTTGTGTGCTGTTTGCTGCAGTGTGCGTTGGAGGGCGGATCATCCTCAGGGGAGATGTCACCAGACGGACGGACGTGATACGGTGAACGGGAGACGCGAATACATCAGCGAGAGACGGCGTGGAGACAAACCACAGCCATGTCTCGCCGAGCGTCCCTGGACGAGCTGCAGGCTCGCTTCACCCGAACGGCCAAACAGCGGAAAAACAGGTGAGTCTCCGCACGTTCGGTCCAGACCACGTTCTGAGGTCAACTTTCCGAGCCTTTGGAGCCGATCAGTGTAAGGCAAGTACTGAGCAGACGGAATAGAGGCTGTGTAGATGCTGAACGGCGCCGGACGCCCCCATTGTGTGCAGATTTGGTCGTGTCCGAAGAATGAAATTCGCTCGCTGCCGCACCGTATTGTCGACTTTGTGTGAATGATACTGTAAAACCGCACCGCATAGTTATTTATTTTCCGCAAAGACGCTCAAATTTGGCGAGTTTACAGCTCCAGTCAACCGTTCCGGGCGTAAAAGGCGTCGATGTTTTGTAAGACCGTAACCTCAATAAGCGCTTTGATTCATTCCATACATTCCGAATCCTGTTCTGATTGTGCACCGTTTAGCAATGCGACCTCAGCTTCATCAAACCACAGTTTTAAGATGTGCAAATTAATACAAAATATAATATAATATGCAGCCAAATATCAATATAAACACATGCCATAACGCAGTCGCACTTTATCCGGGTTTCCATTGACGTTTCAGTTTCGCCCTGGATTCGCCAGCCCGTGTGCCATGTGTGGTAAAACCATATATGGTCAAACGTAGCCACTAGCCATCCTGACTGTGACGATTGACGATTCACCTGCCATATTATCCGTCTAGCGGGAACTAGGCATTTTTCTCCTTCGTCGCATCTTTCTGTCGGTTGGTGTGCATAGCGTGAGCTGACGTTACTCCACGTGTCCTGCGTTTTTGTCATCGCAACATGCAATATTGCAACATTGCAACACATACCTGAGTTGTTGAGTTATGCTCGAAGCGGAACGCCTCGGATTCTCCATTTCATGGTCCCCCGACGCAGATCAGTTAGTGATGAGTCCCCGGATCCTTTCCGGATCAACTGGTTAGCCGTCGCTCATTCACGAGATAACCATTGCTCGAATGGATGGCATCCATAAGCAGTAGTTGAAGGCTCCGTCTCTACTACAGATAGCAGGCTGGTGTTTTGTTCCGACGTGCACACTCAGCCAACACATCTGTTTGTCGCACACCAGTGCACTAGTGCAGTAGCCTATACATACATACATACACCCGTGATAGTCCTCGCTCGTATCGAATTACCAGCCCGATAGCTGAAAGTTGAAACTAAAGCAAACGGTGTGCACGACGCATGCCAATACGGGCGGCGAGTCCCTCCGCGATATAAAATGCGCATTGCGCACTATATCTGCAAGTTGCAACGCATCGGCTCGGCCGCGGGAGCAATACCTAATCTCTGAATCGCGCTTTTCAAGTAGTTCTGAAGTGGACTTTTTACGTTCACCTGCTCCCACTTGACCTGAAGGTCGCCTGTTCAGGATGCATGCACCCGAGAATTAATAAGGTACGGGTGCGCTCAGTGGCCATATTCGTTCGACGTTCATTGAAGCGTCTCCGGATATCGATGTAAGCGGCTGGCCTTCCTCGGTTCGGTCCCGTTTAGGGGAGCATGTGCTGCCGGGTGTCGAGGTCGCGAAGCCGTTACCTGTTGCGTGCCGGCGACTGCACCGCGAATCCGGCGATATGTCATACCGAAGTTTGACATCGACTGCAGTTGATGCTGAAGGACAGTTCACTGACTGATCGAGAACTACCGCCGTTCATAGTGACTATAGATTACCAGTTGGGGTTACTTAGAAAACACACCTTTTTTACCAAACTGGCCGACGGGAGGTCCAACGGAGAGACAGAGGGTCTGTTCCAGTCGCACTTCCTAACAGTTAACACCTCTAAACTCCTCCAAGATTGCTTCCCTGTTCCAGTGGCAGCTAGCTAGCCCTACAAAGCCAAGGAGGACCCTGCTCCAACCTCCTCTATCTTGCTCTTGGAGGAGTTTAGAGGTGTTCGGAAGTGCGACTGGAACAGACCCAAAGTCAGCAATAGGCATAAAATCATGACTTAAAAGTCATCTTATTCAAGACGGCTCGGGGTGTAAAGGACTATGACGGTTCACGGCGACTGAATGCCACCATATTCACCGTTCACGGCAACTGAAAAGGACATACATAGTCACATTTGTCCCGATCATGAAGGTCACGGATTCACGGCGATTATTGCAGAAAATGGTCACCGTCCGTGACGGTTGAGGTTATCTGCACAGTTGACAGTTCACGACGACTAGGTATCACAATTTACGGCGACTATAGGCCATTACCGTTCACGGCGACCATGGAAGGTTATCACGCGACTATAGGTCGTCAGCACTCAGCATTCACAGCGACTATTCACACCGGCTGGCTGCACCCGAACCTTCAGGGCCGAGTGCACGTAGATGCACGCGTGTCCCGTGGACGAGGCGCCTATTTCGGTCTCTCCCGAGCGGGTTTGTTCAGCTCGCAGCTCCCTGGCCCTGACAAAGCTTTCCTTTGGCGAGCCATAGTATCCCCGACCCTGTTATTTGGTTGTGCTCTGTGCCCTCTGGGACCCGCCGACATCTCTCGTCTCGAGTCCTGGCAAGCAGCAACAGTCAAAGCTGCCTTACGTTTGCCATCCAGAGCCCACCACACAGCTTTGCTCGCTGCTCTGCACATACCGAAGGTGCAGGAGACTATACGTCGCTCCATCATCGCGTGCTTCCGTGATGCGTTCCGCGAAAATCATCGCCTACGCCAAATTCTGGTTGCCAGCCTGGCCACTCTTGTTCTTGGGGATGCCTCATCGGGACACTGCGCGCCTATCGTTAGATTTATGTTCATCGTATGTGGGGCCAATATGAGTGTGCTTCTACAGGTTGCTGGAGGTCATATCCCACCTGAGATCATGTACACCCCAAGACCCCCCTGTGGAGTCACCGACTCGCTCAGTTGGCTCCTGGCTCAGAACACTGGGGAGGCATGGGCACTAATACAAATGATATTAGCGCCACCCATATGATAGTGTTATGTTGTTTTTGGTATGCCTCTGTTTTGGTGTAGGTATGATTGTGCATATGTTTTCTGGCGTATGTCTTGTGTGCATTGTGTATGTTTGTTATGCCCATGCTTGTCTTGTCTCTAGACGTAATACAATTGATGATGATGATGATGATGATTACATATAGAATGCTATTGCCGTTCACAGGGACTTTACTCGAATGTCATCAATACCACCGTTCACAGTGACTCAGAAGGTCATCGTCGTTCACAGGACTATAGACGGTCATCAACGCTCACGGCGACTATATATTATTATTACGAGCGAGCGAGCGCAGCGAGCGAAGCGAAGTCTTTTCAATATAAGGGAAAAATCTCAGTATGAGCGGCCCGGCCCGGCCCGGCCCGGCCTGTAACGCTTTTGAGAGGCTTATATCTCAGCAACTGCTGGACCGAATGGCCTGCGGTCTTTTTTGCTGGATAGCCCCATCCCTTCGACCCCGTAATTGACTACTTTTGATACATCTCAGTGACCGCCGTGGCACGTGCCACGTGAAAAGTCAAGGGTGTTCAAGCAGTTTTGCAAAAGTAATGATTTTGAGAGGCCCATATCTCAGCAGCGGCTTGAGCGATTGTCTTGCGGTCATTTTTATAGGGTAGCTGCATCCCTTCTACCATTCCAAAGGTCGGATACTCTTCATCTATGTGAGTGACCCCCACTGCACGTGCAAAATACAACAATAAGAGGTGCCAAATTTGTTCCCATTTCAGTAACTCGGTAATTACTGGGGCGATTTCGCTGAAACTTGACATACAGGTAGGCACCCACCAGGCAATGCATTCCCATGTGTTGCGGTTAGGGTGCTACTGCACGTGCGCACGTGCAGGGGGCGTTTCCAGATCTCGAGAACGGCTGGGCCGATTGCGCTCAAATTTGGTACACGGTTGGGGACCGGTTAGTAGGGTGCCGTGCAAAAGTCATTTTGGACCCCGTTTGCACGTGCGCACGTGCAGAATGCCGCTTCCAGATCTCTTGAACGGCTGGGCCGATTGCGTTCAAATTTGGTACACCGCTAGCGACCGGTTAGAAGGGTGCTTTGCACAAGCCCGTTGGAAGTACCCTCTCGCCCTTCTGCACGTGCAGGGCTCACTATCTCGCTCGCTCGTTCTTCGCCCAAAAGGCGTTTTACTGGTATATTAATCCGCGAGTAGGTAGAACAAATTTTTTAAACGTCGAGCCGATAGGCGAGACGTTTAAAAGTTTTTTTTTACCTACGAGCGGTTTAATTATTTTATCCCGAACCGCTGATATCTTTCGGGCGCTTAAAGGTAAAAAATACATTTTATTTGAAAACTACGACATATTTCAGACTAGACGAAATATCTACGAGACGTCAATCGTCTGTTTGTCAATCGTCTAGACGTTTAACATATCAGTTAGGGTAGACCGGGGCAAGTCGCCCCGCCGAGGTAAAACGCCTCACCGATGTTTCTCGGAACTGGCAAGGTTCTGGGGAAACATCCTCTCTTCTATAAAACGTGCACTATACGATCATTATATGAGCAGACTGGAAAGAAATTGTGATGACGCTTTAGAGAGATATAGCAAAAAATGTGTTTTTTGGAGTGATTTTTATGTTTTGTTGTCAGATTATGCATCATGGCGTTCTTTTATCGTCCACATCAGGTTAACGACTTTTATGTATTTTGAACGACTATTGTCTAACGCTTATAATGCCGGGTTGGTTCGTGTTAAATTATGTCTTCCTGGAGTGCAAGGCGTTGTTCTCTGACCGAACTACTTGATGGGGTAAAACGACCCAGTAGGTCGCGGGGCAAAAAGCCCCATGGGGCGTTTTACCTCATGTGTTGTTCGGACTACCCACTTCCTAATGTTCGGTAGCTGGCGAACGGCATGTTTCTATGCATTTATATGTACTTTTCTCAGCAACTGGATGGCAAAGGAAGTATTTTGTTAACATTCATTTGCATTGCAATAATGTATTATTTGGCCTTCTGAGGCAGGTGAAAAAACTGCTCATACAATAGTGTCGTAGCTGAACACCTGATAGGATGGAAGGTGCTAACTTCAGTGCCGTGCCTCCCAAGGTCT